GTGTTATGTAAGTGGTCTATGAAAAGAAAAGACTTGAACTTGATAAAATAAAAGGCTCCAACTTTCTGAATGACAACTTTCAATGTAGCACACAAGCATCAATTTAAAGAAACCACTCAAGCACTCTGCCCCAGATACTCGGCTCCAGGCAGCTCCGAACTCACTACAATGCTGCAGGTGAAGAACTTGAGGAAAACAACTAAAAGAACCAACGCCGGCATCCATGCACGATGGCTGGCTGAAGCTGGGAAGTGACTCAATAATGGCGATTGGCATCCTATAGAGGGGAAAAAACACATTCCTACTCAATGCTGTTGATTCTATAACTGAAAACATGCTGAAGAGGCCTCTGCCATGTGCTCAGGCAATAAAAATACAGCGAGACATGAGCAAACCCCTCAGACAGACATCCGCGGGGTCAGCATCCTGCTTAAACCTTGCTGAGAAAGCAGCACCAGCAAGCAGTCCTAACGCGCACCGTGGGAGATCAAGAGTTCTTCTCCAGCACGCATCGGCCTTACAGCTGGTTGACTGAAGAAGAGGAGGGTGATGGATGCCACAGTTTCCCAGCGATACTTGGTGGTCCTCTCAGGAAGTCGCTGTCTCTCCATCTGCATCCAGCCCCCTCCATCAGCAGGTTGCATTGAGCAGGAGGGTGATGCTGAGCCAAACACCACAACCTGGGCTAGACAGAGAGGCACTAGAGTCACAACAGCGTCTGAAAGAGGTTTCGGAGGGACAAGGCAGATCACAAGCTGCTGATGCAGCTGTTACAGTTGCCGCAGAAGTCTGGCACCATATAATTAACAATGAACTGGAGCCACACTAGGGAAAAACCAAAGAGAGATTGAGAGAAGCTGTGCAATCTTTCCATTACTTAACCCACCTGACTAAGGCCTGGTCGACACCTAAAATTTAGGTTGACCTAGCTATATTGCTCAGGGCCTGTGAAAAACTTCACACCCTGTGTGATGTAATCAGGTAGACCTAACCCCCACTGTAGACACAGATAGGTCGTCAGAAGAATTCTTCCATTGACCTAGGTACCACCTGTCGGAGGAGGTAGATTACCTACACTGAGGGATAAACCTCTTCCATCAGTGTAGGAAGTGTTTACATTACAGCGATACATGTTTTGAAAGAATTTCAATGTGTGAACAATGCAGTATTGTAGCTGTGTCGGTCCCAGGATATTAGAGAAACAAGGTGGGTGAGGTAATACCTTTTATTGCACCAACTTCTCTTGGTGAGAGAGAGGCTTTCAAGCTACACAGAGCTCTTCCTCACCTAAGGAAGAGGAAGGTGAGGAAGAGCTCTGTGTAGCTTGAAAGCTTGCCATGGCTACAACTATGCTGCATACAACTTTGACTTGTTCACACACAAAAATTCTTTTAAAATATAAACTAGGGTTACCATATTTAAAAAATAAAAAAAGAGGACACTCCACAGG